GGCCAAGCCTGGCCCAAAAGGGTACTGCGGGTGTGCGGAGCACTAACACATGAAAAAGCAAGCTGGAAGAACAACACCGAAAGCCCAGGAAAAACTATCCGGGTTGCAATTGGACAGAACTGAGTGCAAGTCACATGGACATCAGTCACATCAGCGTAATGGGCGGAGCCCGAAAGGATAACAAAAACATCAAACCAAGGTCAAACATGGTAAAACACAGCAATGGTCAAACAGCAGTGTGCTGTAAATGATTCTGAGGCAGCCACATGCAGGTTTCCCTTTTTCACTGTGTGAGCTGGCATCCCAGCGGTCTGGCCCCTGTCTTGGCCCTTGTCGTGGTGCGCAACCAATGATATTCATACAAAAGGAGAAGGTGTCTGCAGAACCGAGTGGTGACGTTGGTGCAAGACGCTACCAGGCCACCAGGTCAGTAAAACAGCCCTTCGCAAAAACTCTACTCTCAGGTAGGCCGGACTCTGCTCGCTGCCAGCGCGTTGATCTTCTGCAGGCCCTCGAGGTCAGGGTTGCTCAGCAGGACCGACCAAATGGCGTTGGAGACATTGGCATGGCCATTCTGGCAAGAAAACTTCAAGCGTTGGGTGTGGTCAGGGTCAACTTGCAAGGCCACATCTCGCGGGGCCGCAATCGGCTCCACTCGCTTGTAGTACTCAAGCCTTGACTTCACCCAGCTGTTATACAGCTGTTGGGGTGGCTCATCCAGGATGAGTTGGAGATTGACTTTGACTCCCCTGTGTTCTCCAAGCAATTGGACAAAGCGGGAAGCTCCTTTCCCTTGTCGCCAAAAGCCCTGGCAGGCCTTGCAGACCCATCCTCCACGAGTCACTCCAGCCTCCTTCGTCTTCAGTTCCCATGGACTGATGCTGCTGAGGATGAGCCCGCAATCCGTGCGGCCCCAAAAAGCGTGGACTCCCCGGTGGCCGTAGTGCTCCCTCTTGTACTTGGGGCTGCAGATGGACACCACGTTCTCCAAGGAGAGCTCTGGGTACTTACCGGTGCCCGAAGCTACCGTAGTCGCCTGCAGAGCCTCCGGTTCCAGCGCAGTCTTCAGGAAGCCATCAATCTCTGCCTGGGAGTAGCCCAGACGGCAATAAAAGCTCTCCGCCTTCTCATGGGGAACCAGGGCAACCCACCATAGCTCACAGTTGCACCGCCAGGCAACTTGCACTTGCACCATGCTGTGGGCCCCCAGAGTGGCTGACAGCGCCTGGAAGACGTCCGGGAGCTGCCTGAAAGCATCCAAGGGCAAGGTGATGCGCTCATCACAAACCGCTCGAAAACGGAGCTGCTCCTTTGTGTCCTGGATGTCCTGCTCGGGCAAGTCCAAGACCACCGCTGGGGTTCTGGCTAAGAAAACCGAGGCAGCCAAAAAGCTGCCGATTTCCTTGTAGAGCAGCTTGATTTCATGTTGTGATTGGGGAAACCGGAGGCCCACACTAGTGAGGAAGGACTTGATCTCTGAAGTCCTCTGCCGGTGTGCCGCCAACTCTGCCATCTTCTTCTGGCGGATGCCTTCCCCATGCCCTCTGCGCATCGGTTTGACGATCAGCGGCATACCACACCAAGCCTGGTAGAGCTCTTTGAACGTCCAGGACTGTCCAAGCATCGTGATCATTGAAGGAAGGTCCCATGATTGCACCCTCCGAACCAGGTGGGTGTCGTCGGTGCCAGAAGCTACCGCCGTCCCCGGAGCCCAGAAGAAGCCAATGATCTTGTCCAAGGCGGGTCGCTTGCCCTCGGAAATCTGTTGCAGGACCACCTGTTCTGTGTAGGTTGTGGGCGTGTAGAAGGAGGTGCCCAGCGGGTTTGTCCTGAGTTCCAAAGCCAAGACCTCAGTCGTGGGTGCCGGTTTCGCCCAGGCAGGTGCCGTGAGCGGGCCCTGTCGCAGTTCCCACTCTCCGCCCCAGGCTCGGACTTCACCTTTGTGGTACTGCAAGATGGAGTCAAGGATTGCGTACTTGCGTTCCAGGCTGTCTGGCGGAAGGAGTCGTGCTAACTGGGCCTCTTGGGAAGATATCATCTCCGTCCCCGTGGTGTACATGTCGAGTTGCGTCTTGGGGAACTCCGTCATGAGGCGGTCTTGGGAAAGCGGAGGCTTGTTATCCTTGATGAGTTCTTTCATTCGGAGGTAGGGTTGCTTCAGTGCCTCCATGTCAAATTGTTCCGGGCCCTGAGGGCCCATGGCCGGCGCGAAGAGGTTGTTCTGCCATGCTTCTTGCAGGGCCGGTGTCCACAGTGAAAAGGACGCCACTTCAATGGGCTTGAGGGCCTTGCGTCGATCCCTGAACTCTGTGTCCAGTGCCTTGTTGGCGGCTGCCGCTCTCTCCTGTGTGGTTTGGGCCGCCACCAAAGCCTCGTAGGAGGAGGTGAGGCCACTTTCTTCATGTTTTCTTTTGAGGTAGGACCTGAACTGCTGTAGGTCAGCGTGGCGGAGCATCTTGGCACTGACCGGATTCTGGGTTTCCTGTGCACCCTGCTGGATGGCCGTCAGTGTATGCAGCTCATCATCCATCGCCACAGTCTCTTGCTGGTGTTGAATTTCCTTCTTCCTCCGCTTGGCCTCCTGTGCCGCTTCCGTAAGCTCTTCTTCTGGGGTGGCCAGCAAGTCCACCTTGAAACGCATCAGTTCAATGGTCTTGGGGTGGAAGATCACAGCAGTTTGAGTAGAGTCTCGATCATCCATAGTGGGGGGGCGTTCGCCATCTGGATGAAAGATATCGTCCTGCCCAAAAGCCACCACGTGCTGCTGCAGTGTCATGCGCTGGGAGGCAGGAACTTGCTCCGAAAAGCTAACCAGCCCCGTATCGGCGCCCGAAGCTGCCGCAGGGGGAGGTCGGCCAAGATCTCCCACTTCCACAAAGCCTGAGGCCTTAGTAACCTTAGTATCTGTGGGGACCCAAGTCGGTCCCGCCTCAGTGAGCCTAAGTTGCCAGGACTGGCCGGCCACCTCAATCACTGACAAAGGTGTCATTGACAGATCAACAGGCTGAGAGCCTTGACAAAGCAAACATTTGGATAACTGACCCCACGGTGCATTGCAATCAGAACAGACTAATTGCGGAGAAGTTCCAGGGTCCTTCTCTTTCAAATTCACCATGGATCCCCCACGCTGAGTGGTGTGCCGGAGTTTCAACATCTGTGTGTGGACAGCCTCGCGCTTCGAAATGTGGTAAACCTCTGCGATCTTGACCACCAAGGATGCCGTCCATGGAGAACTGCGGAAAGCATCCAAAAGGGAACGCAGCTCACCATGCGTAATGTCTCTGAAATACTTGGCAGCCGAGCGAGGCAGGGCCGGAATCAAAGGTGCCCAGCCTTCGATGGTGAAGGTCTCTGTGGTCGGATCCATGTGGAGTGTCAACGTCTCCTTCTCTAAGGCCCGTGATGTCTGGGTCTGAATCTTTGCCTCTGCATGAACGAACCCCGACGGGGGTGGCCCACTTGACGATTCCACACTTGTCTCCAGCTTGGGTTCCAAACCCAAGTTTGCCATCACTTTCTCCATCTCATGGAGCTGCGAAGCCAGAGTCTCCCTGGTGATGGCGGGATCATCTTCAATCTCTGTCGTAACCTCGGCCGGCGCAGCCTCGGTCACCTGGGTGGAAAGAACCATGTAATCATCCCCTGCGTCCAACTCCGTCCCAATCAACGAGAAGGAGCCCACGGTGCCAGTCTCGCTAGCCACTGGACTAGAAGCCGCCATGGACAAAACAAAAGGGTCGGAGCGTGTTTTTCGAAAGTATTGGATCGCAGGGGGAACAGCTTGAGCCAAAATGGCATTGCCATTTTGGCAACTATATCGTCAACACATTACTTGCTCTCCACAAGTTCCAAGCAAAGAAACAAATATATATACAGAATTGGCTGGTGATCGAATCCCTGTCCCAAACAGTCGATTGGAGCATAATCCCAAAAAAGAAAATAACCAAAGTGTTTGACACCACTAGTATCCCCCACTAGCCAAATGATATGGACACATAAAATCCTTGTTGTCAGCTTTGGTTTCGCATGCGTCATGCTTTGTCTGATTTTTTGTCTGATTTCTTGCAGGTTTTGTCTGCAAACACCTTGCATGCTCAGTATTTCCGTTCTTACACTGCTGATTCTTGGGTATCCAGTTAAATCTGATAAATCCATCAGGGTATACCCATGATATACCATTGATGGGTATCTTGATTTTTAACATTCATCTGGTTGGTGGTTGTTTTAACCATCTTGAAAAATATGATTTCGTCAATGGGAAGGATTATCCCATATATGACATGGAAAATAAAACATGTTCCAAACCACCAACCAGATAATAGTTGGACTATAGTTGGTTTGATTATGGGTATTATGGTTATTATGGTTAATTACTATATATTTATCTATATTGATGTTCCAAACCACCAACCAGCCATGCTTTGCTTACAAAAAATCTTCGAATTGGTGTGATGGGTTTCCTCAGCCGACAACTTTTTCGTACAGAGGTTCTGAATCAGCCGACATCTGAAGTCCTGGGGAAAAAAGTAAGCCATGAAACATGCCCCTATCAAATCTCATTATATGAGGGTTTCCATAAATGGGGACATCCAAAATGGACGGTTTTTATGGTAAAACTGGATATTTTCCAGTTCGCTATGCAACAGATTACCGATCCAAAAAAATGTGGTAAAACCAAATCATGAACCTCCACATTTGATTGAAAAACCATGGACAATATCTGAGTAAATTACCATATTTCACAAACCTGAATAGTTCGGCTATTTGGGGATGATTCCCAAATCCTAACCATGATTCCAGGGCTCGGTCGCGACGTTGAGGTCGTTATTTGCTTTAGCCAGATCACATCCTATATCATCCTATTATATATCACCATATTCTATACCAATAATTATATCCCAAAATATCTCATCATATCCCGAAATATCTCATCATATCCCATCATGTCCCATGACTTCCCACGACATATCTTTTTCATCCCCCAACCAAAACCTCCGAACCTCGATCTCTCGGGCAGAAGCCTGGCCGTTGTTTTCTTCTGTGGGAATGTCATGGGAAGATTCCCAAACATCAAGCGGTTGGAAAGTTTCATTAGTGGTATGAATTACCATGGTAGTGGGAATCATGGAATTATCATGATTTCCATTATTTCATGGTTATAAAGTGGGAATACAATACAACATCACGGACATAGACATGCCAATGTGATGAAATTACCATCATTCAATGGGGACAATCCGGTTTTTATGGGATACCCTGGAAATATCATGAGATTCATTATATAATGCAGTACACCATAAAACGGGAATCTAGTGGGAACTTTATGGTTTGGTGAATCGCAGTAGAATATGTCAATGAATATCAATGACATATCATGGGAATATAAATGAATATAAGTACGGACATGATAAATGAGGCATGATGGGTATGGGTTATGGGAATACAATGGGATTCAGCCAGTTCATCACATTCAATCCAATAGTAAACTTAGCTTCAGCAATGAATCACCATTCAACATGCTGGGTAAATCATAATATTTCACTAACCTGAATTAAGGCCATTTGGGGATGATTTCCCTTATTAACCATGATTCCCAGTGAGGTCGCAGTGAGGTCGTTGTAATTTACCCAGAACATGGTATTTGAGAATGAATGACTATCAATAATAAGCTTAGCAAAATAACAGGCTTATCAAATGTTCTCAAGAAATTCATGGGCATCATATAAATCCCATTCAATCCCTTTGAACATGGATGAATTCATCGACAAGCACCAAAAGGATGAATTCATGACCATCAACCCAGAGCAATGAATCACCCATTGCCACCATCCGGTGGCCCAGGGCACCCCAACCGGTCGTGTACGTCCAAAAAAGACAGGTGGAAAACAGTTAAATTGCTGTGGCTTTTTCCAAATGCCATAGACCTACCGTTTGGGAATTTGGGACGGTGTACAAATCTTTACAAGCCATAAACATACGGTACTTGGGGATGGGGCCCCACAGTTATAAGTTGGTTTATAAACCATTATAGTCCCCAGTAACTACAGTTGTTAAGCCACTTATAAACCAACTTAGCTATCTTGGGGGCCCCATCCTGTTGGGGATTGTTGATTATTGGGTTTACCACATTATCTAATTTCATTACCAAACCCTTAATTGAATACCACAACAAAATGGTTAAAGTACTCAATTTATGGGGTAAAAGACAATTTTAATGGCTACAAACGGAGGGTCTAGGTGGGATGTTTGTCTAGTTTCTGTTCAGTGTTGCGAATTCTGGGAAGATTGAGGTTTTGACCAGTTCCATGAATTCAGAAGTGGGATGCTTAAAGTGAGGATTTGCGGAGCTTCTTTTCGCAACATGTTTCTGCTGAATCCCAACTTGTGTCGCTGGTGGAATGCTCAGAATCATGGGCTAAAATTCTAACATCTTTCAACATCATGGTTTACACATCAACTATCCCAAACCGTCCATAAATCATTGTGTTAAAACAAACATTGAAATCAGAAATGATGAGTTTTCATTCCCATGACGGATACATTTTTGTGCTGCTATATATGGTGCTCCATGGATCCCATCAACAAAAACCCCCTTTATGTTAGCAGCTGTTAGCATATACCCTCTGGTAATTTAACATAGCTATTGAAAATGGCCATTTATAGTGGATTTACCCATTGAAAATGGTGATTTTCCATAGCTATGTTAGTTTACCAGAGGGTATATACCAGCACCATGGATCCGTCATGGGATTGTTTTTATCCACACCAAATGCGGCGTCACCTCCCCGGGCCAAGCGGGCCGCCCGCCTGCTTCCCGCGCTCAGCTTTCGATACCTCCGCTTCCGACTCCTGTCGCGGTGTTTGTCATGGGCCATGCTGATGGCTATGGGTCAACCATGCTTTTTTTGTTTTAAAGTTGATGAATAGATAAAGAACTAGTCTGGTTGGTGGTTGAGCCCTACCCCTCTGAAAAATATGAGTTCGTCAGTTGGGAAGGACTATCCTAAATATTATGGAAAAATAAAATTCTTGTTCCAAACCACCAACCAGTAAAGAATTAGTTTATTTATCAAAGATAATCTTTCATATCTATGATGAATCTTATTTTTATCTATTTATATCTATTCATTGTGGGCCCTGAGACTTTGATCTTCAGAGTATGTAAACCAATGGGACAATCATCGAAGTACTTGGGAATTGTCCAAGCCACCCGGCTTGATGTTGACATAGCTATGGAAAATTCCACCGGATTCTGCTTCAGGAGATGACTGCATCAATCTTTGATTGTGGGACTAAGAAACGGGGATGAAGCAATTGAAATTGGACCTAGGGGATTTCATTCATCTTTAAATCCAATATTTGGAAAGAAACAAACCCAATGTTGGTGAATTCTCAATGGTCTCCTGATTTGAAATATTGCTAATGGCTGGTAGTTTCAAAGTTGGTGAAAGTAAGCCACAACACATCTATGTGGGGATGTTCAACGCTACTGTACTATTTGTCTTAGTGGTTGAGAAACGTGTCTCGAAACATATGAAACCATGAATCAAAATCACAGGTGAGGATGGAACATCAAACATGTTCATGAAGTCACCGATCAGATCTGATGGTCATGGTGGTGATGTTCAAAATAGGGAAATAACGGCAAAAGGGTGGGATACACATAGGGTGGTTCAGCCATATCTATCCATATTTGGTGGTTTCCTGAAATAGGGGTACCCCATGGTACCCCCAAATCATCCATCTTAGTAGGATTTTTCTTTATAAACCATCCAGCTATTGGGGTACCACCATGACTATGGAAACCTCCATTTGAGATAAGAGGATACACAATAATTATGTGAGACATTTGAGCAAAACGGGATTCAACCATGTCCAGAACTAACATTGGCCAGTTTCCAGATCAAAGATCTCTTTCCAAGGATGTTTCCAAGCATTTTTGGGCTTCTTTTACTTGGCCAAATCATGGTGTTCCTTGGAAGAAATCCCCACGAGTATTGGTGATCAGTTACCTCGAAAGATCATCTCCAGGTCATCCATCCATTGGGTTGGACTAAAAGTCGCCAAGTGCGCCAAAATCAACAACCAAAACGTGGCCCAAACTGGTCTACAAAAATCTATAAAATCATTGATGCTAGGTCTATTATTGGGTTTACCACATCTATAAAAACTGATCTATAAAAAAAAACACCATTTTCAGACACAGCTGGCTGTGGTTTTTGACCATGTTTTTACTGGTTGCATTGCCGTCCCGTCGCCTGAGTCATAATTGGCGCAACACAGTCCACAGCCTCGACATCAGCGATGACGGAATAGGACATTTGGGGGGTTCCATAAATGGAGGTACCCAAAAATGGCTGGTTGAGATGGTTTATAATGGACAATCCCCTTTTTTAATGGACAATCCTTTTGTATGGTTTAAAATGGAAAATCCTATTAAAACATCATGATTGGAAAATCCATCTATATATGGATGATTTGGGGTGGCCGCATTTTAGGACACCTCCATTTGTTGATGAGGAAACCATATGAAACCATGAAACTGGCATCATATTGTAAGTTTGAAGTTTCAAATTGACCTGCGATCATAATTTGAAATCATAAATGTTTGGAAATTCCAAATTAAGCTCTTGCCAATGTGGGCACTTAAAGAACCTCAGCAAGGCAAGTTTACCGCCACACAAAAATGGTAGGCTACACTGCACCACACAAGAATCATCACTTGCAGTTTCCATTTTGAAGAACCACGAACTAACCACTTTCACCAAGATTCTCCAAAATAGTTAAAGTCTGTTAAAGTGTATTACCACTGTTTTACTAACCACTCTCCAAAATTCCAAAAAAAATGGGTCATTTTGTGTCAAAGTACACCATAGTGAAACAGTGAAACCACCAATTTTCATGGCAGTGAGGATCTGGGAGACCACCCGTCCCGGTCCTCCCCGTTGGAAGGCGCCTCCCTGGGGCTGCGAAAGATGTGGACCGTTCCATTGGCCGCCGCGGCCATGAGGTGCAGCGAGTCCGTGGCGAAGGCTGCGAGTCGGCCACGCTGTTGTGTGGCGCCCGGGGCGGGGTGGAGTAGCACATATAATAATTAAATAAACAATGTTAATAAACAACGTGTTATTATAACACAAATATTGATTTAAGTATAAATTTTATAAACATATAATCCCATATTCCATGATATGTTGATCAATATAGGAGTAAATCCATATGTCATTGTCCCAAAACAATCCAAAAGATCGACATATACAGTGTAAAACAATATGTCATCACTTGTCATCATAATTCATGATCACATCACAAGACTGAAGTACTGTAGCCTCTGGTATTTTTTGCCATGGAAAATCCACACCTTTTTTTTTTCGGATTCATCGAAGTCAGTGGGATTTCCCCCATTTCGACCTGGCCTAAGCCATGGATACAGCATTCGTTAGCTCCACGACGAAAACTGCACAGCATAGTGAAGGATGGTACCGCCTCGGCACCGCGGTGCCAAGCAAAGTTCTTTTACTTGAAATGGGGATTCAAGATGATTGTAGAGTAATATGATTTATGATTCAATATGTTTCAATCATCAAACGCAGAGTTTTGATTTGATCAAAAAAAGGCACTTTGACCAAATGGAATTGCACGAACCAATCAAAAGGGAGCGGTCCTCAGCAACGAAATTTTGGTGAACCAACCAACCGAAGGGATCTAAGCGACACGGATTGACGTTGGTCCTGTCTGATCAATTGTACTCCATGTCACCCTCCTGTAGTTCTCCACTATTTCTAGATCATTTTCGTAGGGAAACCAATGGTTTTCCACATCCATGTTATAGTTTACCCGTTACACGTTCCACGAGATTCTTCTGAGAGCTAGATGCGCAGTTTTTCAATCTCGACCATGAACTGTGGAAAGTCCGCGACTGGGAGCTTGTGCAGGTTTTCATGTTAACCATTCCAGACAATCAGTCATTTACATTACCATTTGTGCAGGGTCAAACCGCAATTTCCAGTTCGTATAACGTGAACGGCACCTCTGTGTAGACCTTGGAGGGTTGCTTCTTCCGATTGAACCGCGCGCGAGCAGCCGCCAAAGCCGCAGCCTTGGCCTTGGCGGCAGCTTCAGCAGCTGCTGGCGCTTGGGCCGCTTGCGGGGCCTCAACGATGGGTTCCTGGTCCTCCTCCTCATCAGCCTCAGCGATGGGTTCCTGGTCCTCGAACAAGTCAAACGGCACGAAATAATGTGGCGAGGGCTCCGTCCAGCAACCAGCCCAGACGCCTGTAAAACCCCAATTTCATCCAACTTCTAGATGTTCTTCCCATCAATATAAATATAACATAATATAACATAATATGTTCCATATGCATTGCCAGGATAATCCTTATTGGGTTTGTCTGAAAATGGCCATAGGGCACCCCTCACTATCCCTTTGAACATGGCCATAGGTTGGCAGCTACAGCAAACTTTCAGACATGCCAATATAATTCTTGGTTGAGTAGCACAATATAATATCACACTAAGATCCCAATTTTTGTGCCAAACAAATGGTCAATCTCAATTATCCAGATATCTGCTGTCCGCCATCAATATTCTTTTCATCTCGCTTATCCAATTCTTCCTGGTTAAACCACCGCACAACGTGTTGGCCCCTTGTGAAACGTTAGTTTACAAACTCATATAACTTCAAATAACTACATGCGAGCACAGTTATAATATGTTATAATCACCAGAAATCCTAGTTGACCTAGTTGTAGATAATAGATAAGTTCGCTAACGATTTGGGGCACGACCTTGTATTGAAATATTCCGATTGTACCTCCACCAATAACCCATTTTCATAGCACACAGTTAAACCGCAATTTACGCGTGGAAAAGCAGGTTCAATATGGTTCAACTACCATATGTTTGCAACATGTTATATCAATGAAGAAGTAAAACCAATTCACCAAAAAACAACCAACTATGTAACTATTTCTAAAGATCTTCATTGGATTCTTGGAGGATCATCCCACCTAGTAAGGATTCATGGGTTTTTTCTCAGCCTAGAAGGTCTCCATTTTGTGGGCTTATTCCATATTTAATATACTGGCTAATCAGCCAGACACCCTGCAAAAAATGACCGATTCCTAGCTCGTGACTGTAAATCATCCCATTGATACCAAAAGGTTAGTTAGGATTAGTTTCTACACATCTAAGATTGACAAAAAGGTGGATAGGCCAGCGAAATCCGATAAACCACCAATTTGGGATGGTTGAAAATGGTTGAAACCCATCCAAAATAATGGGATCCTGGGATGGATAAACCACCGAAATTACAACTGGTGATAACCGGACTTCGCAGCGGCCCATCCACAGTAGTTATTCTATAAAATGATCCGCTGAGATCCGACTCAAAAACACTTCCCAAGCATGAAAAAGGTGAGACATCCAAGTATTGTTTCAAAAGCTATAACCATGAAAAATCGTAAAAATCATGAATTAAAGCGAGATCCTAATATAAATTATAGCATACACACAGAACTTATAACTATATCATGAAAACTATATTTCTATGAATATCCCTTAAAGTCATTAAAGGCATTGGCTAGTTACCCTCTGGTAAACTAACATAACTAATTATGGAAAATCACAATTTGTCAATCAACAAACTAAATCACCAGTTTTCAATAGCAAAGTGTTAGTTTACCAGAGGGTAGATCATTGGTTTAGAGAAAAAACACGGCCGTGAAAATCATTGATGGAAACCATGGCCATAGCTACATAATTTTATATACGCACCCATGGACATATCATGTGTAACACATATTCATCCAGGAGGGTGGTATCCAATTTCTTAACTCACCATTGGTAAATCACGATATTTGCTTTACCATTGATAGATTAAATATAAATCCAATCCCAATCTCATCAAATCAATCATAAATCCCAATATAAATCAAATATAAATTGCCATTGATAGATTAAATATTGGAGTTTTCTTAAATCATCAATGGCAATTAAGAAAAATCACCATAAATTTACAATTAATGAAATTACCCTAGATGATTAACGGTGATTAATGGTGAATTACCATAGATTCTCTTATTACCATTTATGATGATTAATGAAATTACCTCCTGGTAATTAAGAGAATCACCATAAATTTACCATTGATGATTTTCACCATATTTTATAGATCATGAAATTGATACTATGCTTATAATATTGATGCTACTATTTACAATAAACCATAATTTCGTAGATTATTGATATCAATGATTGTCAATGATATTTAACCATTGATGGACTGTATATTAACCATTTATGGTGATTAACCAGTATTTATGGTGATTAAGCATTTATGGTGATTTATTGTATATCATAGATTTACCAGGATTATGGAATATTATGGTATATTATAAACATAGATTATTCCATAATTATAGTATATTTACCATATTGACACTATTTTATAATATGCCATAATTTCATAGATTACCCTCTGGTAATTTAACAAAAAGCTATTGAAAATGGCCATGTATAGTGAGTTTTCCCATTAAAAATTGTGATTTTCCATAGTTTTTTGTAGGTTTACCACCTCATTACATTTCTTTTGGACCTGGACACTTTTACTGGACCTTACTACAATTCTTTTGGAGATGGCTACCCTTCTTTTGGACCTGCGCACCCTCCTGCTGGACCTCATCCTTCCCTCCTGCTCAACCTGGCCCTTTCCCAAACCATACCCCTTTTGGATAGATGCCAGTTTCTGTCCAGCCGCGTCTGCATCGCAATTTTCAGACAGTAGGGCGCTAGAGCTGCACTAGCATGCAACTGGGCAGGAAGTGCCATGTAGTGTTGTCCTCACAGCTTGAACCGACTTGGACACTCATCCTGGTGAGTTCGTTGCTGCTTGCGAGGGGTATAGCCAGTCTGGGAGCCTTGAACTCCAACCTGTGTGACAGGAAGGCCAGTTACCCCGGCTGCCGTGCCTGGACAGTAGGGGGCTAGAGCCGCGCTAGCAGCGTCTGCTTCGCAATCCCCGGGATGGGTCATTGGTGAGTTCGTTGCTGCTTGCGAGGGGTATAGCCAGTCTGGGAGCCTTGACCGCGCTAGCAGCTAGCATGCAACATGGGAGGAAGCCTTTCCTGTACACGGTCTGCTCCCAAACCATGCCCCCTTTGGATAGATTCTCCAGTTTCTGTCCAGCCGCGTCTTGATCGCAATTCTTCAGACACAGTTCTTGCATTCATCTTCTTGCATTCCAGCCGCGTCTACATGTCCATACGCCCTGTGACCGGATACTAACCAACGAGGTTACATTGATTTCGATGTCGACTCATGTGCCACCCTCAGCTGCGACCATTGCGCCCAGGAGCATCCCTCGCCGGTACGTTTACACATCTGTCCATGACGGTCTTCGTTGCCTGCAGCCGATGTGGGTTCAATGTCTAGGCTTCACCCGTCAACTCTCAGCAACTTATTGCGCTCATCTTGTTCTAAGATCTAACTTCCTCTTCCCCCAATGTGCCTTTCAACTTCCTGCATCCATTTGGTTTCATATGTAGGTTTCCCCCCGTTGGCCTCTCCACAACTTCTTGCCTTTATGCTGTTTCAATATACTGTGCGAATTTCTCCTGCGCCCCTGTGCCGCTCAGCAACTTCCTGCATGCATTTGGTTTCAATACCTCCGCTTCTCCTGTCTGTCAACAACTTCTTGCGCTCATCTGGTTTCAATATCTAACTTTCCCCCCTGTGCCTCTCATCAACCTTCTTTAACTTCCTGCATTCATTGGGCTTCAATATCTATACTCTCCATGGAGTGCAGCGCCCATCTCCTTGTGACACATTGGGTTTCCCACCTCCTTCCCATTCTGCCCTCTTCTTCTCCATTTCTACTCTTCACACCTCTGTGCCCCACTTGGGAGCATTCACCTGGCTTCACTATCTAAACTTCCCCCCCCTTGTGCCTCTCACCAATTTCCTGCATTCATTCGCTTGGTCTCAAGACTTCACCTCTGGCCTCTTAACAACTTTTTGCATGCATCTCAACTTGGTTTCAATGTCTAAGCTTCCCCCCTTGTCTCTCAACAACTTCTTGCACTCATCTGGTTTCAATATCTAACTTCCCCCCTGTGCCTCTCATCAAACTTCCTAAACTTCCTGCATTCATTGGGTTTCAATATCTATACTTCCCCCGCAGCCTCCCCATAACTTCTTGCGTTCATTTTGTTTTAATATCTAAGCTTCCTCCCCGGTGCCCCACAACAACTTCCTGCATTCATCTTGCTTCAATATTCCCGGTGCCCCTGAGCAACTTCCTGCATTCATTTGGTTTTATACCTGGCTCCACCGCGGCCTCCTAAAGTCCCCCCCACCTGTGCCTCTCCACAGCTTCCCGCATTCATGCGGTTTCAATATCTCAGCTTCCCCTCGTCTCTCCACAGCTTCTTGCATGCACCGTCATTTGGGTTCAATATCTAGACTTCCGCTTCTCGTCTCAGCAACTTCTTGCGTTCATCCTTGTTTCGATGTCTAACTTTCCCCTCTCCCACCTGCCTCTTTCTCACCAATTTTCTGCGGGCACCTGGCTTCAATCTCTACATGTTCCCCCGTTTCACCTTCTTGCATGCATCTTGTCTCAATATCTAAATTTCCCCCACCCTCTTCCGGCATTCATTTTCGGGTCCCAAAATTCCCCGTGCGTCTCTCAGCAATCTTTTGCATGTATCTTCATGTATCTTTATTTCGTTTCAATGTCTAGGCTTCACCTCTCATCTCTCAACAACTATTTGCGCTCATCCTGTTTCAATATCGAGCTTTCCCTTTCCCCTATCTGCCCGTCAATTTCCTGCATCCATTTCGCTTCATACGTAGACTTCCCCCATTGGCCCCTCCACCACTTCTTACGTTTTCATTGTTTCAATACCGGAACTTCCCCGGCATCAGCAACTTCTTGCATGCATCTTGTCTCAGTATCTAAATTCCCCCCACCCTGTGCCAGGCCCAAAAAAACGCGCACGGGTTCCAAAAAAGAAGGCGCCAAGGTCCAAAACATCCAGCCCAGCGCCTATAACAATGGAGTTTCCCCCCCACCCTATGGAGGCAAGGTCCACGAAGCAGGTGCACGGGTCCAAAAAACAGAAACCGAGCTCAGAAACAATTAATTTGGCTGTCGAAAAAAATTTCCCTGGGTCCAGCACAAATACATGCAGGTCCAAAAAAAATATCCCCACAGGGTCCAGAAAACACACAAGCAAGTCCCCCACATTTTTTGTGACCCTAGGTCCAAAAAAAATTCTCGTTAGGTCCAAAAAACATGTACAGGTCCAAAAAAAGGGTGCCCAGGTCCAAAAAACATGCATCCCGAGGGTAAATATCATGAAATCCACCGGTCTTTTACCAGGAGCCTATCCCATCCCCTCGCAGCAGTCGTGGCACCCAAAGTCGTAGCACCGTGCCGCGCGCCGAGGCGGTGGCCAGCAATTGGCCCGTGGGGTTCAAACGCATGGCCCTGACCTGGGAATGGGAGCCATGAGATCTCACATCTCAATATAGTATATTATATAGTATATTATACTATAATATATACTATAGTAAAATATACTATAATAGTATATTTTACTATAGTATATTATACTATAATAGTATACTATACTATAGTATATTATAGTATATTCTTGGGTATATCTGTATGTTATAAACAATGTGGTTAAAACAATGTCATTTTTACCATCCCCCAGTCATCACCATGTTTTTAGGTGGTATAAACTTACCATTCCCAGTCATGGCTAGTAAAAATGGCATTGTTTTAACCACATGATATTGTTATTGGGTATATCTACTCTTGGGTATATCTTTTTTGTTGGGATTCTTTAAACGTATATACGCTCTGGTAAACAAAAATACGTAACTATGATGGAAAATCACCATCTGTTATGGGTAAATCAACGATTTCTATGTGCAATGTTCAATAGCTATGTAACAAATTACCAGAAGGGCAACATCTATCTCAACATTGGAGATGTGATCATGGGAGATATATTTATTTCTTCCCTGGAGAATCATCGAATCATATACATATCTATCATGGGGATCATAATGATATTGAATTGCCCTAGAATTGAGACTTTAATAGTAGCAAGGGAGCTTTATGTTAAAAATAATTTTATTTATGATTTTTTTAATGATTTTAATATGATTAAATTTATGATTTGGATTTTTTCGATTTTTTCTTTATGAAAAAATATGATGAAATTTATGATGAATTTTATGTTTTTTTTTTTTCCGTTCTGGCATTTTTATGATTCTTTTATGATTTTTTAATGTTTTTTTTTAAATGATTGTTTTTATGATTTTTTTATGTTTTTTTTTTAATGATTTTTCTCGGCATGAAAAATCTTAAAAAAAATCATAAAATCATAAAAACAATCATAAAAAAAACAAAAATATGATTTTCTGATTTTTTTAAGATTTTTTTTAATGATTTTTTAATGATTTTTTTATGATTTTTTTGATTTTTTTTTATGATTTTTTTTATGATTATTTTTTGTGTTTTTCTACTTTTTTTCTTCGAAACCATGTGAAACTAAATCATAAATTTCATCATAAACAAATCATAAATTCAACCATAAAAAAATCATAAAAAAATCATATCTGAAAATTTCCCGTTTTTTTCCGACATAGTGAAATCATAAAAAAATCATTAAAAACACATAAATAAAATTATTTGTATAATTCTTGTTTAAGCTAACGTTTAAAGTCTCAACCCTAGAATGGATCATATTTTATCATATTTTTTGGGGCGATCCTGCATTGTATCGTATCATTATCAATTATGATATCATTTTTTTGAAGAGGCTATACAGTTATATTAAATTATATATGGTTATGATATATTGCGTTTTTTTTCTACATCCCATATCAATATATATACATATATTTAAATTGTATCACTTATGGAGATATCATACTGTGGATGGAAGAAATCCTGCACCACCTTGGATGGTTGAAGCCCTATAAATAGTTGGATAAAGGGTGGAAAAAAACATCCATGAAGTCCAACGTTCCACATTCGATCAACAGGGCTGCCGACAGGCGTGCGATGCGCCAAGACTGCGCCCAAGGGTTGCCTTGAAAGCCGCTGGTTGAAACGAAAAAAATTGGGGGAACATGTGGAAGCCTCTGTAAATGGTGATTTGAATGAAAACATCATGAGGATTTTGATGATAAATTCATGATTCGATTTCAACGAATATTTTACATAGAACAGACCATTTTGTATAATGATGATTTCAATGCATAAACCCTCTATTAGTATATTGTTACCATCTGGCTATTTAACATAGCATGGAAAAAGGCTCATTCATAGATGGTTTACCTATTAAAAATGGTGATATCCTACAGCTACATTAAATAGCCAGAGGGTATATCTTATGATATCTTATGTCATAATGGTTGATTATGATAATAATACCTTATATGCATATATAAACCATCTACTAGTATATTGTCAATCTATAAATTGATGATTGAGAAATGGATCAGCCCTCTAGATGCTTGAGGTTTTTATGGACAAAGCATCTGCAAATAGGAATTGAACATCGATTCCTCCACAGTGACAGTCCTGGTTGGTGGTTTTAACCATCTTGAAAAATATGAGTTCGTCAATGGGAAGGATTATCCCATATATTGTGAACAATAAAAACTGTTTGAAACCACCAACCAGCAGCAAAATGGCCCACTGTTGGTGGGTGGAGGCTATGTCTAAAACATGGACAAGTGAAGACCAGGCTTGGGCGATGCGCCGCCTGTTCTGTTTGAATCCTAGCTCAAGCTTCATGATATAGTAGATGTTGATATCAGTTCATAACATATATGTCTATATCCACTTTTTCTTGGGTATATCATATCATATATTTCTATCCATTTTTTGTATATCTTTGTTGGGTATATATGGCTATATCATCACTTTCCAAATATATGCCTTTCATCTATCATCTATAATTTTTATACCTTTCGTAAATTGAAACCACCTGCGATGACAAAAAACACAACTTGACGCTCAGCGACAAAGTGTAGGTGTCCACAACACCCACCAGCCCGGCGCGTGCTTCCAACGAAGCACCCTGGCCGTGGACGTTGTGAGGAAAAAAAGGAACCAACCATTAGGATTTACTTGAGATTTATGGAAAATATCTATATTTTATGATTTAATTGAGATTTATTGTGTTCCAAAATTTTGGATTTGACATGATTTAACATGATTTCACCAACATGTGAGATTTACAGTAATCCAAACTACGATTTTACCATCAAAAATGAGATTTCAATTGCTTGTACCACTTTTCTTGCAACAATGGGTTGAAGTGGGTGTAGCATTGCGAGACATGGTTCCTTCCATCCTTATTGAGCCAGGGGTTCATTAAACATCCATTACCCCGTAATAACCCAACTCTGCGGGCTGCGAATTTTTGGATCTCGCGTGGGCCTCAGAGTGATGCAGAAAAATGTCACCATTTAAAATTGGGGTGTGATTGTTAAGTTTGATTACCTGGTGAAATGGAGTGTAGACACGCAATTTCTGTTTATACTATTTCATGTAATGTGGGTAAAACAATATAATAAACCATCCCCCAGTCATCACCAATTTTAAAGGTGGTATGTTTACCATTCCCAAACGGGTGGTTTATGGCATTGTTTTACCCACATTAACCTGTTTTGGACTTCTTTCTGTGGCTCAACCATCATGTTATGAGGTGAACACTCTAAGCACAGCAAGGTCTACTGAGGAATCAACAGTAAATCATGATCAGCATCATCCTCATCATCCTCATCATCCTCATCAATCATGTATATATATATATATATATCTAATATATACATATATATCTTATGATCTCTTATGCTCTTGTGGCTTTCCTATGGCAGCTCGTTTCCCTCGTTTCCCTCGCGGCCTGGCTCCCGGCCACAAGGGGAGCCGCCAGCAAGCCACGCCTGACAGGCGCGGCTTGGGCCAGGGGATGGTGTGGCGGTGGTGCCCCAGTTCGTTAGCTAAGTTGGTGCCAAGAACTCCCATTTCACTATGGTTTATGGCAGATATAACTATAGTTAATGGATGTCAATGGGGTTTAAACACCAACAAACATCACTAGGGGGCACCATCCTGTATGGTTAGTTCATAATAAGTATACCCTCTGGTAATTTGTTACATAGCTATTGAAAATGGTAACTTAGTTTGTTGATTTACCCATTGAACATGGTGATTTTCCATAGTTATGTTAGCTTACCAGAGGGTATATCTTATGATATCATATGTTATAATGGTTGATTATGATAATAACACCTTATATTACTTATACGTATCATTTGTAAGATGTAGCCATCAGTAGGTATACCAAACTATAGTTCCAACTGTTCCAATGATATATCAACGGTACTGAAATAGTATTAATGATATATATATATATATATATATCACATCATTGAACATTCAACTGTGCTACAATATCCTTCAACTGTGCTCCAATATCCTTATGAGCAACATGGGACATTTTGTCAATGGTGTCTCATTGGTCTGTTTGAACATACCATTGGCTACATGAAATTGGATCCATCTGGGGTATATATATATATATGTATATGTATATATGCAATTTCCTTTCAGATTTGATATTTTAGAATGGGAGGTCCGATGCTTTATGTGTATATATATATATATACGATGGCAATATTGCTGGGGTATCTCTCATATCTAACTGGTCCACACCACTTAAGGTTTCCTCCAACACCTTTTTTGGGTGCTCCATCTTGCTTTTTCTCCTGAGAGTAGTTTGAACATTCAACACATGCAACCCAGTTTCTGATTGCGTGAGCCATACCATCTATATTGGCAGTGATTGAGGTCATCACGCCACCTATATATATATATATCTAAATGTATGTATATATTCTATAATATATATATATATATAATATGAATATGAATATGTATATATAATGTATATATATAAAATATACATATATATGGTGGTATATACATAGTATAAAGATATTCTACATATGAAACCAATTGAAACCACCAACTAGGATTGCAGGCGGAGACGGGTGGCTGGTGAGGCATGACCCAGACATGGCTGCCGATTGGAATCAGCTTAATCTTGCCAAACAATACTGTAGATATATATATACTTGGTGGCTCATCCCACGAATCGTAAGTGGGTTATAACCCCAGTTATAAATGGGATAAGTAGGGTTAATCCACTTATAACTGGGGTTATAACCCACTTACTAAGTGGGATGAGCCACCAAGTATATATATATATTAATGTGGATATGGTGGTGGATCTAAATTTCTTTATCTGCAAAAGGCCATTCTTCGCGAAAAAAAATCCTTCCGCGAATCTTTCGTGAAGCCCATGTTTATCTTTCGCTGGGGTCTCATTCGCTAAATCTTTCGCTAAATCTTTCGCCCCCCCCAATAATACTTATATCAGTACTCAGTACATTGTTCTCAGTACATTGTTGATGTATGTTGATTTGTTGATCCCCGGTTCAAACCTCAACTGTTGAGCAATCCCAAAACCGGCACCAGCTTGGATTCGGGAACGCCAAGGAGATTGTTCTGTGGTGTACCTGCTGTACCCCCCAATCAATCTCAAGAACTAGTTGTAGAAGCTACCCCGAACTTGATAGTTCATCATCTTCCCCATTGAAATAGCCATTGAAAGCTTTTAATATCATGGTATACTCCAATAATCAGGTTACAGTCACTGTGAGATCACCGGCATCTTCAGTCAAGGGACTCAGGGTCACAACAAAGGCTGCAAAGACCAGGGTCTAAGCCTGGAGCGGGTTGAGCCCCAGAAATCCTGAAGAGCAGTTTGACCATCTTAGATACCCTGCCAAAAAAAGGATTCTTAGCGGGTTAGTACAAGGTGGTGCCCCATAGTTAGCTAAGCTGGTTTATAACTCCAATAACTACGGGTTATGGTAGATATATCTATACTTACTATATGGTTATAAATTATAGTTATAAACCAACTTATAACTGTGGGGGCACCACAGTTAGATGTTATTAGTTTAGAAAGCGTCAAACTACCTCAAGGTTCATCGCGATCAGTCCCATTGAACACTCCTTGACGGTATGGCTTAGGCCACGGTGGTGCTGGGTTGACATTGAGGCTGTGACGGACCCCATAACGTGACGGTGGGCCCAGATCGAAATCACACACACAAACAAATATGTAATTGAAAAGATCCTCTTTCTTTTTACTGCAAAGTTGACCATTTTGTATATCACACACATATATATATATGAATGTATCTATCATTTGCATGTAGACATGTAAATTCTGCTATAGCTGAAACCTGCAACAAAAATAGGTTGCTTCTTGGTGGCTATAAACCTGCAAACACCCATTTGCAACTGGCAAATGTTCATGCATTTTTCCCTTGTTTGTTGAATCATGTTGAATCATGTTAAAAACCCTTTGTCGATGCGCGTGGAACATCAATGAGGTCATTTCTTTCTGGATGAACATCAAAACAATCACAACTTGAATCAGAAGAATCTCTACCACCAAACGGAGGTACGGAGTCTTTCCATCATAATATGGGGATTTCCGAAAATGGTACCGACGGTACCCCCAGTTCTCATCCATTTAGTTCGATGGATTTTCCATGAAATTTTTACCATCCAGCGATAAAGGGGGTAGCTCCATTTATGGAAACCTCCATATCTGGTTGGTGGTTGACCTACCCATCTTGAAAAATGATGGAGTGAAAGTCAATGGGAAGGATGACATCCCATATATGAAATGGAACATCAAAAAATGTTTGAAAGCACCAACCAGATAAGTTGGTTTATAAACCACATTAAACCACATTAAGTATAGATATATCTACCATAAACCATAGTTTTATTAGAGTTTATGGAAACCTCCCACCATGGATCCATAAGTCCAGACCTTCGGTCTCGGTCTCCCGGGTTCCACCCGCCTGGCGCTTGATCCGAACGATCGATCACATGCAACACCTGGCAGCGTTTCTGACGGTGAGCCGATCAAGTGAAACAGGTGCTGGAGTGAAATGATGGTTAACACACTTACTGGCGCGTTTTACG